ACCCCAGGCTTTTTTCATTTCCCCCCCCCCCCCCCCCCCAACCTTTTTTTTTTTTTTTAATTTCTATAAAATTACAACTGACTACCACACTTCTGATTCCTTCTAATTGGTTCGTGTTATGATTGATTATAACCTCTTTTTTGAGCCCTCTCAGCCAAGTACTTGTGTCTCTTCTTCCTTCCTCTTACCTACAGACTGTTGCTTGGCTTTATAATACTGCTCAAAATAAAACTGATCTTATACTGTGAAATAATTTGATTGAAGGTAGACCCAAGATGTGATGTGTAGAAGTTTTATGTTACAGGTGCTGAATTTCACAGCTCTTCACCAGCTGTGCTACCAGCATAAATGAAGGTTAAATTTTGTTCTGTGTTGTGACTCAGAACTTCACAAACGAGATCTTTGCACTTAAAAAAGGGAGGGGAGACTGAATTGGTCTGTATAGGGTGAAGGGTAATTTTAGAATGAAAATGAAGGATCATTGCAAACAGTGATGGTGAATTTATTTTTTCCTCCTTACAGTAAGCTCTGTATCTGATAACTTTTGCTAGATTCTCTTCTCCAACACTGCATCCGTCTAATTTCTGTAATTTTTGTAGGAAATTCTGCTGGACAACTGTGCTTAGTAATTGCTGCAGGTAAAATTGAAACAAATTCATTCATGGAATTCTCCCTTGTTTGTTTGTTTGTTCCTAGAATAATACTTTGATCTTGTTGAATCTAATATGGTTTCTAGCTACTGCTTCCTGTGGCTTACCAACCTGCATGAAAACTTTTAATTTGGGGATGGGAAAGAAAGAGTGTGGGTAAAGCTGCACTTTTAGGTTGTCCCTGGCCAAAGAAAGCTACAACTTTCTGGTGGGACTTTTTGCCATTTTTGTTTTACAAATGGAAACATGCTAATGTTTCTTGAATTGTCCACTAAGTGTCTGATACCGTTGGGAATCATCTAGGTTCAGGGGAAGTAACACTAGCTGCTGTTGGAGTTGACAAAAGCAATGCCTTTTGTAGATAACATACCACTGACCAAATAAACCCCTTTTCTGCTATTTTGCTTATTATGAAATTATACCAGTAATATTTGTGACATTGGTATTTTTGTTTTGTAATCTCAGGAGAGCTAGGGTAGCTTTGACCTGTTGCTGTGTCCTTTCAGCTTGCAGGCGGCAGCGGGTGCGTTCTGGTCTGTCACTGGCGAGCTGAGCTTCTGGGGGTCTGGTGGTAGATAAGGGTATTTTTGTTTGAGAATTGTATGCATGAGTCAATCCGAGGGAAGAAAGGGAAGGAATCGGTTCTTGCTGTCTTGATGTACAACCATGTGTACGCACACCCCTAGAAAGAGTTTCTTGCTTTCAGCGCTGAATGGACAGTGACGAGACTTCTCTCTCCCCTCTTTCTTTTAACTCCAGCAGAACTGTGAGGCAGAGTTTGGTATGATACCATGGAAGGGCAGCATAACCATCCACATCATCTAGGGGACCAGAACAACCCTCTTTGCAAGCTGCCGGGGCAGGAATATCAGCATGATCCTCAGGTAAGTGCATGTATCTCTTCAATCTTTCTCCTTCTCTGTTTTCTTCTCTTCCTTTTATAAAGGTCTATAGATTTCTTGGCATTTAGCCTTCTCCCCTCCCCCCCTTTTGTTTATAGTGCAGTTATAGCAGTTTTAGGGTATATCCAGTTTGGGATTCTGCCAGCCAGCCAGATTTTCCTGACTCTTGGTTTTTTGATGATAATAAGAGAAAATGGAAATACTTTGAATTTTGCTTAAAGCAAGTATTTTTAAATCATCTTATAAAAACATGTATTGTGTTGGCTTTCTCTTCTCTTTGATTCCTTGAAGAAAAGGCCAAAGAAAAGCAGTTGATTGTGTGAGTGAATAAACGTATTTTATCTCCTATTATAATTTAATAATAATAAATGCTGAAGAGGTAATTACCAAATACAAGAAAAAGTTCATCCTACATGAACTGTAGGCTTTCTGACTTCATTTCCTGTGAGTCCCTGGATTCTCTCCCGTAATGTATTTTGCCTATACCACTATCAAGTTTCATAGTGGCTCATACCTCTCTCTCTTCACTGCCTTTCTGCAGAAGTGGGCTAAAACTAGGGTTAGACCTGTATTCAAAGTAATGTCGATACCTCCACTGTAATCGTGAAACTTGTATTTTGTGAATTCTGACTGCTTGCCTTTTTTAGACTGTTTATCAGAGCAATTAAGTTTTACCCATATGTATTTTAAGGAGTAAACAAAACATTGTAGAAAAGCTGTCAAAGAAGACTACTGCAACTGTGGTGTAACGTTCCTTGGGGAGGGGGCTGTGGGTGTTAATTTGTCATTCCTAACGTGCAGTCCGGTGGTGATCAAGGTTCCTTGAACAAGAAGTGGTCATTAGGAAAGCTGTATCAAAACGCAGTATAGGATTTGCAAAAACCCTAAGTTGCCTACACATAGAGCACAACGGTGCACGTATCTTACGTAGCACTGCTGGGGAAGTAACCTTGTATGAAGCAAAGCCCCCCTCTCCTAATGTAGCAATTTGTCATATTAAGTCATTTAATAATAATTGAATCCCCTTGATTAATCTCCTAGAATTAGCCAGTTGCATTTTGAGCAATTAAGGTTAATTACTGCCTCATTTGGCAGGATAGAGCCCCTGTAATTATTTCATGAACAAGATTAGGAAGTGTTCCTGTGCAGCAGATACATTCATGGCGTCTTGGAGCACATGTTAGAATTTGTAATGACATAGTTAAGTGTAATTAGTAGCTAATAATCTATGTTCTGCTGTTATGCTGATGCTGAGTGGGCTCATTTTGCTGTATGGTCATTGTTCAGTGAAACCTCCCCTCAACTCTGTTAATATCCAAGTTGTGTTAATGGAGGTCTCGGAGTATATTAACTGTTCTGAGAATGATCTAGTTTGGAATTAGGATTGCAGAAAGACTTTCTTTTGTTTTTGCTGTTAAAATAATAAAAAAAAAGCTGAATAACAGAAATATACAGTCTACCAGAGAATAGAAAAAAATGCCTCTCCTTAGCAAATTCAGTTTAGAAATTAACAAAAATTGTACCATTTAGACGGCAGGCCACCTTACATTGATGGCATGATATGATTGCTTATTACATATTTCTGATTTTCCATTTTGCAGGAACATAATTATATATAATTTTCAATTTTATGTTGTCTATTTTCTAGAAGAATCCAAAATTACATAGTTTCTTTCTTCTGAAGATAGAAGTAATGCAGACATGCTATATAATTGTTTGTGGAAGAGGGAGAGGTTTAGGAAGGAAAAATTGACCAAACTTGTCTTACAAGAAGTGTCATGCATGGCAGGGATAAAAGCTTAAGCAGAAAAAACAGAACTTGAGCTTTTAGAGTCTCAAATGAGGAGGGTTTTTTGTATGGAATGGCCCTCTCTTCCTTCATTTCTTTCATTGTCATTCAAAACTACTGTGTCACCCCCAGAAAGACCAGAGCAACAGTGTGCTCCTCTAGTAGAAACTTTTCCTATAATTATGCTGCTTCCTAAAGCTTTTTTTTTTTTCTTCATTCTGACAGAGGTGTTATTTCTGCTTTATAACTAGTTAGTATAGAGCTATGAGGAAGTGAGTAAGTGTATCAGACTTTTCTTTGTCTTTAACTACTATAGTTTAGTAATGAGATTACACTTTTGAGTAATGCTTCATATTTAGAAGTTTTCTAATTAGAGTAAGTGAATATATAAATATAAAAAAGGCCAAATAAAATCACAGTTTAGCTGCTGGCTCCCTTACCTGCCCAGCATTACCCTGATGAAGTCATCAGCAAGAGACAGAACACTTTCTAGTAGTGTTCAAGTGAAAGTGTTAATAATTAAGCAATAGAAGTTATTTAGCATTAAATCAGTGATATAAAAATACGCATCTATAATTTTTGACTTAGTTTTCGTACTATATAAACCTAATAACTCACTTAAACAACCCTTTTATATACTCACACAGCTTAGCAGCAGAGCTGTTCATGGTAGTTTCATTTTGGTCTGCGAATTGAAGGTAGGTTTGAACTGGCAGCAGAGAGTCTTCAATTTATCGTTTTCTGAAATGCCTAATTATTTCTATGTTAATATTAATTTCTTTGTGAATATCACCTTGGTCAGCTATTTTCAAGCTGGTATTTCTGTCTTTCCTTGTCATAAGCTACTACAAATATTTGCTGATAGGGATGTTAAAACTTTGACATTCAAGCCAAGTTCTTCAGCAAACTTTAAATTCTAGGTAACAGGTCAGGTTAAGGATATTTTATGATGACTGCGTAGTCTAGTTTTGAAGCTGCAAATTGAAAAACGTGATGTATTCTTCAATAATTACTTGACTACCTGTTTGAAGGATAATCAAATCCACGCTTTAAAAGTTTCCTCATTTCTTGTGAGCTTAGAAGGTCTTTTTTTAAATCAATCTGTTCTAATGTATTCTCATAAATTCATACTAGAATTTCAACCTCAAAGTATGCAAAATTGTTTTCAGGTAGGCATTATTGAATGGAGATGGGTGTATAATTTGGGACATCATAAAGAGGTTTGAAACACTGATGTTGAGAGTAAATCATTGCTTATAATGTATATGTGTTCAACTGGAGGGGTTGAAGCTTCCCCATCTACTAACACAGATGTCTTTTAAAGGTGAAATTAGTTTACGGTAAATGTCATTCAGATGAAGTATGCACTTTAGAAGCAAGGAAACCATTGCTTTAAAATTAATGATGCATTGCAAATATCAGAAAAAAACTTATATCCAGCGTAAAGATAATTAAAATTCAGGTCAGAAGTGTATGACTTAGTCGGGCTAAATTTTTTTAATGAGATTTCAGAAAATTAATTGGGCGAGTATGTTTTTACTCTTCTAAACAATGTTTCATTTCATGGCTCTACAGGAAAGATGCTTTTATTGGCATCTAAAGAGTTTAGTGTCTGACTTTTTAACTGTTGGTTAACCAGTCTTTAACAATTTTTAGGTTGATTACAAATAATCTAAACGTCTTGTGACCTTGTAGCCATTTGTGCAGAATGATGACTAGTGCTGCTTTTCCCCATGCCAATCAGACAGCAGTAAAACAACTGACTTTATTATTAATTAACATTAGCACTCTGGGTTTATATATTGTGCAGTTAGCAGAGAACATTCCCCTTTTTTCAGCTCATTCAGGCTTATTTTGTTCTGTGCCTCTGGGAGAATACAGGCATTGCTGTGCAGCACGTTAGTATTTTACTGATATTTTTGTCTTCAGTCTCTCAGTACTCTCCTTTGCCTGAAACGTTGGGTTAGAGGCTGCAGGAAAGGCTGCTTGGACAGTTTTCTCAGGACTGTTCAGGTTTTCCTCAGCTCTTAAATAATTACAAAGTGGTAAATTTATTGGCCAAACATTAATTGTTCTGGAGATTGAAAGTCTTTCTACAGAACAGTTTTTTCTTACTCTTCCTTATCCCAAAACATAAATTCTGAGCTGTACAACTACTCGTTTAAAAAATATAAAAATTCTGTTCAGGTTATGTAGCTGTACTACCTGCACGTGGTTATAGCAGTGTATGAAGGATTTGGGGGAAATTGTATCCAATCTCTAGTTGTAAATTTTGGCATGTTTGTACTCTTGCATGCTCAGAGAGTCGAGTCGCCTCTGGTCAGACGTCTCTGGTGGTACTGTAACAGACATCCCTGAAAATGTGGAAGCATAAGTAGAAACTGCATACTATTACCAGGAGCAAGTATACAGTCAAGGAACACTTCTAATACTGTCATCCTCTGTATTTGCCTGGGTTGCTTTATAATCTGGTATGTAGAGACTCCTATTAATCTTTATTAAAGTGTCTTATCCTTGCAGCGTATCTGTTCAGGTTTGTACAAGATAATATAGCTGAAGTTTTTATTTCATTGGCTTTTTTTAGTATTATAAAACCTTACTAATTCTGTTTTGCAGAAAATCTCATAACACCTCAAAATTTGAGGCTGAAAGTTCTGGCAAACTTCTGTGTTAAGTATTGTGATGAGGGCTGTCGTTGCATACTTTTGCCAGCTTTGGAATTTTTGCTCTCGCATCAGTGATTACATCTAAAAGAGAACATGTGTGCCAGAGATGTTGTCCAGAATAGTTTGTTCTTGGAATAATCTCTGCATTTTTTCTTAAAAATGAATAGCCTCTTTATTTGAATGAGGAATTAATTGACTTTAATCTTTGGCTTTTTTTTTTTTTAATGGAGTAGTAGCAGAATGAGACTTCATTGTGTGGATAAAGAGAACAGCCTTTGTCTCAAAACTAGTTCTTCCCAGACTGTCCCCTTCCTACAGCTGCCCTGGGAACAGGAGTGTGCAAACAGCCCAGTTTTCATAGTATCTTTAAATGTCCAGTGGTTGGGGGGGTGGGGG